TGTCCCGGTCGCGGTCGCGGTCCCGGTCCCGGTCCCGGCAGGACGGTCAGGAGACGGCCCGGGAGAGGCCGTGGGCGGCGGCTCCTGCCCTCTGGGCTGCGGGGCCGGCGAGGCCGGAGCCGAAGCTGTGAGCTGTGAGGGCAGCGAAACCCAACTGTTGCAGGCGGCAGCCGGACCGGGGCGGAAAGTGTCCCTGTCCCCAGGGAACGGGCCTGAGAGCGGCGCAGCAGCGGTCTGGGCCGAAACGGCCCGGCCCTGCCCCGCCCCGGGGAGGGGAGGGGGTTCGCCGGCCTCGCCAGGACCCGAGGTGAAGCCGCTCACAGGATGGTTCTGAGATCGGGGATTACTTGGTAAAGGGAACACACTCAATGTCCGTAAGCTTTCCTGCTGGGGAGAACACGCCGTGTAGTATCGCTTCTATTTTGCCACTATAAAATTCAGTGTGACGTGAATGGCGTTGGTTGTCATACTGAAATAATAGATATCGAAGTCTTTTTTGTAAATATTACTGAATTTTATTTTCTCACAGACGCCTGAGAAATTTACACAACTTTACCAACCTGCTGAGAAATGTTATTTTAAACTAGGAGGTTATTGTCCAGAGTTCAGATGACCAAGATGGTAGCACAAGCGAGTGCTGTGCTGCAGCTTGCTGCTGCACACTGCAAAAATCTCAAGTGCTCTGATAAACCTGTATATCCTGCCTGATTGTTTAAAAAAAAGATTAGCCATCAGCCTGTGTTTCATTCCAGGTGCTGCTGATCAGCAGCTGTCTTAAACTCCTCTGTGCAGGGAGCCCCTATAATTACCTGTGGTGTTGGAGAGCAACTTGGGATTTCTGGTGAAGAGGACTGAGAGGAATTGTTTCATTTAGGGGATTCAATCATGTCAAATTTTAGCAAGAGATAAAGAGTAAGGGAAGGACAGCAACGTATTTGCTTGGCCAAGCTGGGTGAGGAAAGCTGTATTTGTAAGTAATTACCTTCTCTCTCTCTCTCTCTTTTTTACTACCAAGCAGAGGGGTGGGTTATTACCTTCTCCTTCTCTTGTCCCCAGGCTAATCTCCATGTAGCGCCCTGGATTGTGAGACACATGTTTGCACTGGCTGTATGAAGTAATAGTTCACATACCTCTTCAAAGTTGACATTTAAAGCAGAAGGGGCATTAGCAAAATTAAGTTGAAAAGCTGAAATTGTGGTTACCTCCACAATACTCAGTATTTGGAAGAGATTGTTTTGTAGTCCTGATGTCATCTTGTTCTTTATTAGGAATTTCTGTTTGATAGATAACTTAAAGGGACTGATATTTGCTTTTAGTTTTATACCATTCGCTGTAGTACTTGGTAAATCTATGCTGCAGATTTGAAACTTTAACTTCAAAAAAAAAAAAAAAGAAAAGGAAAGCACAGGAGAGGTGGTTGCCATGGCAGGGCTGCTGCCAAGCGCTGCAAAGGCACAAGACCTGTTTGCATCTGTCTCCAGGAAGGGGGGAGATAAAAAAAAAGAAGGGCAAAAAAGCATAGCAGTCATTTTTAAATTGAACCAGCTGTCCAAAACTAGTCAGTGGTAAGAAATGAAAAATGTGACATCATTTAAAAATAAGTATTGCATGTTAAATATCAAGACTAGAAGTGTTAATGCTGAAGTTACGCTCATGACCATTTTGAAATCTATGAAAGGGCGTTGGCTGCTTAGAACTCACTCTTCAGTAAAGCAGAGGTGGGGATGGTCTCCGGTTGCGCAGTGCCTGTGCCACAGAAGGAGCTGTGTGTTGTGGTTTAACCCCTGCCAGCAACTAAGCACCACATAGCTGCTGGTTCACTCCCCTCCATGGGAGGAGGAGAAGAGCATTGGAAGGGTAAAAGTGAGCAAACTTGTGCATTGAGATAAGAACAGTTTAATAATTAAAATAAAATAATAACAAAAATTGTAATCCCTGCCAGCCTCCCCCCTAGTTTTATTGCTGAGCATGATGTCATATGGTATGGAATATCCTTTTGGTCAGTTGGGGTCAGCTATCCCGGCTGTGTCCCCTCCCAACTTCTTGTGTACTCGCAGCCAAAACCAGTACACTGTGACTGGGGACAGTTGATCAGCTTTCAGGTCTTGTAGTTTAGTCACAAGGGGAAACTCTTCTTTTTCTAAAGAAAACAGGAGGTCAGTGGTTTTTAAAAATACAGCTGTGGAATATTTGATACTACAAATATTGTCACAAAAACTTACTGAGTTTTGTCATCTTTGACTGCTGTCTTGTTCCCTCTTCAGTGTGCCAAAGGCAATGATGTGAAAGATCAACGCCTGTCCTCAGGGAACTGATGGGTTACCACAATTACTGTTCCTGCGTACACACTGCACCTGTAGCCACGTCTGTTCCTTCTGTACCAGCTCCTGTGTTTGCCCTAGCTACGTGGCTACTGTGAAACCCGCACTAGACTGAGTACACAGTTCCCTTTCTAATAAACCCTTCCGCATTTCTGCTTAGTCTACTGGGAAGACCGTGGGACTATTGGAATGTATAAACATCCATAGTGTTTACTAACGTATTACCATGCCTCCAGTGCAGCAGATTAGTCTGGGGTAACCTGGAAGAGTGAAGAAACTTGTGACAAGTTCTTTATGGAAATGTTTATAGACTTCACTGAAGTCCTGATAAAAGCTGTGTCGTGTAAGGAAGGCAATCAGCAATATTCCAGAGACTTTTCTGCACTCCAGGAAAGCGAAGAGGCTTGTGTCGTTGTTGGGAAGCTTGTGTGCTGGGTCTTAGCCGTACTTTGTGTGGATGGAGTGACTCCAGTCCTAGTCAGACACTTAAGCCTGAAATTATTTTTCTTTCCATGTTGTCTTTTGTACCTGTGAAGTTTTCTGTAGGCATCTTTCAGGTGTTGAAAGGGCTTTTTGACTTGAGAGACATGGTCAGAAAAAGTGTAAAATCAAGAGATGCTACCTGAGGCCTATTTTAAAACTTTGAAGAATGACCATGCAAACAAGTACAGGAATTGGCGTGGTTGGGGAAGAGCAGTCATGGATTATGAAGGAACTTGTTTATGTTACTTAGAAATAACACACGCTTTCTTTGAGGTTTGCAGTCTGGAGATGTGTGTCCACAGAGCCTTATCCTTGTAGTTGAAGGCTTAAGGGAGAGATTTTTGGATGGTAAGTGAGGGAAAGGCTGAATAAACAGCTTACCAGAGCAGGAACCAACAACAATTTTAGATTACTTCTTTTCTTTTTGGTATGCGGACAGGTGTGTAGGTGGTATATACAATAAGGAAAGTCAGTGCTGGCTACTGACTCAACAGAGGAATTGGCCCACGCAGCTGCAGAGGCACTGAGGCTGACTGGCTGTGTAACTGAGCTCTGCGCTTGCTCAGCTGGTGCGTGGTGGCCATTGATTATTCCTAGGTACAGCGTGGAAGGGAAAAGATGGGTGATCCTGGAGGGCAGCAGTGTTGACATGGACAGATACAGACGTGAGTGGGCAGGAGGCAACACGGATGTTGTAAGACCAGCAGAGGTTTACCAGACAGGAGGCAGTGGTTGAGAACTCTAGTTGAGAAGTTACGGTAGTAGAAGTATACGAAATAAACAATAGGATATATAACTGCTTAAAGGATGATGTAGAGACAAGACAAGCTGGTTGTGACTAAAACTTTTTATAAAGTTTGGAACTGTGATGGACTGGAGTTTCTAGAACATCTCACAAAAGCAAGAAGATTCAAGCTTGTCTTAAAATGGTCTGAAATTCCTGTGTTCCCAAATGTATATATATTTACATTATGTCTTGTGAAGTAAAGGAGGAAAAAAAAAAAAGTCGGGTCGGCTAATAAAACCTAGCTTCCTTTTGATATCAAGATACTGATCCAGAATCTGCGTTCCATTAGGTGTACAATAGTACTTGGGGCAGAAGGAGTATTTAGTAGCCATACAGTGCCTGTTGTTGCTGCCAGGCTCTGTACTGGGGATGAATTAGTGCTTGTCTGACTTGAACCAAGCAGGCAGCAATGGAGACAGCCCAGCAATTCAGGCAGTGTTCTGGAGAATTGTCCTCAGTGAAGAAGACATTAAAGCAAATTAATTTGTTTTGTTTACATCACAATTGGTATCTTTTTGCATCATTTTTGTCATAACTTAGTATTTAGTCTTTAGTGTATGGATAAAAACAGAACTGGACCTTTAATCTTTCTCTTGTACAGTAACCTAACTTCAGTTTTCTGGGTTATTACAGAGTAATTTAGGTTGGACGAGGGATCTCCAGAGGTCATTTGGATCAGCAACCTGCTTCGGTGAGGTTGTTCAAGACCCTTTGACTTTGTATTCTGTTGTAGCTTTCTGTTCCAAAGTGTGTTTCCTAATTCTGTTCTTCTTACAGAATTATTTACAGCCTGATGGGATCCTGATGGAGAAGTTCTGCATTATCTGGCTTATTTACCATACTTTTTTTTTTGCTTCTAGTCAAAACTATCTAGTTGTAGCTTCTGTTTCCTTCTAACTAATCCATTGTTTGCCCTTGTGTGTGTTGCCTACAGATTTTGCTGGTATTCCTTGTGGGTGTTTTCCTGGACTTAAAAGATCAAATACCACAGTTGTCTATAGCCAGCAACTTTCTGCTGTGTGTAAGAAACGTGCAACAATCCAGGTAAGTAATTTAAAAAAAAATTTTTTTTTTTTCTTAGTGCGTGACACCTTTTTTTTCCCCAGTGTTTCTCTCCCCACCCAGTGCAGGCTGTGCTGTACTTTGCACTTTGAGGCCAGCTTAGGTAATGTCTTTCAAATTGAGCTGCATAGCTTCTTGGAATAAGCTTGTGCAGTGGGGTTATGTGAAGGATGTTATATCCAGGAGAAGGTGGTTGGGCTGGGAATAGAGCAGCAGGAGTTGAGAGTCTGGCAGAAGTTTCTGAGACAAGGTATAAGCTTTCAGGGCTGGATGGCAGCGGCGGGGAGACAGTGGCTTGGCTCTCGTGCTCCTGGCAACCATGCGAATTTTCTGGTTTTGTTCTCAGTGGTGTCTGCTCCCTTGCTCAGCTGAAGCCCCTCTTGTGCCATGCTGTTTTGCAGCCTTCCTCCATCCCCATTTCTCCTGCCAGCTCCTCTGCTGTGCTGCCAACAGGTGGTACCCAGCACCGTCTCTCCCTCCTGGGTAGAACCTAGTATGTCCCTGCTTTTGAGGTCTGCTGTCTTGCACCCCAACGTGAATGACCAAATTTACATGTCTTGTTGTTCCTTTTCATCCATTCAATAAAAGTCCCTGAAAAAATGAAAACTGCTAGGAAATCGAAAAAAATAATCACTTCTTATGCTCTTATAAAAGGTGTGCTTTCCTGATGATATTGCCACCTTGTTTATCACTTGGATAGCCAGATACAGGCTTACTTTATTTTCTTGTCCTTGCCTTGCATCTTTGCTAGTTTGTTGTACCTCTCAGTAGAAATTCTCTAGAAAGCAATTTGATGTAATGCGTTCAGATAAATTCACATTTAGCAATGTTCCTTACAGCAGAAGATAAATACAAATTATGTACTTCTTTTCTAAGTGATCCTAATAAACATGAGTAATGGAAATGTCCCTCCTCTTGCTGAGAATGCATATGTATTGATTCTGAGTTTTGGAATGATGCTCTGTGAAAGTAAAAACAGGTGGTCTGAGACGTTGGTTCTGGTTTCATGATCTGCGTATGTTCCCTTGCATGAATGTTGTTGCCATCTCCCCTTGTAACACTAGCATTTATGCCACTGTGTGGCCGGTGAGACTAAGGAACTGATGTGGCTGAAAACTCACTCCATAGTGGTGAAGTGGCAGGTTGGTTCTTTCTTTTGGTAGAAATGGTCTTAGATTGATTTAGGACATATGCTATTGCACTGTTTTAGGGATACAAATTTCTTCTGATAAAAACAGGAAAGTTGTAAATCCATACCAAACAATGAAAATGTTCTTAGTTCAAATTTCATATAGCTAACTGTGGTTATCTTTTTATAAAAATTTCTTATGACAGACATACACTCTGATTTAAACTAAAAATTATATTTTCTTTACTCTAAAGTTTGTTTTGGAAGGACTTCAAGCATATACAGCTGTAATTATTTCATTTCAGGGGAGCCTATTTAAAAGCAAGCAGACCATTTTTGGTCTGTACCTGAGTGGCTAAGGAAGATTTCAGTTAAGGAAAATTGTTCTGTAAGGTAGTAAGTATATTTGTTCTTCCATTCTTAGAAGAGCAGTACTTGCTGTTGCGTTAAAAGCAGGTGTCAGGCTGAGGTTTGGCTGGACAGGGAGAGAGGGATGACACTACAGTTTCCTCCATCTTTGCGTCCCAGGAGCAACGCTTCTGCACATAAGTTTTTCCTCACGTGGTGTGTTAGTGTGGGAACAACGCAGACGGTTTTTTTTTCTTCCCTCCTGCTAAGGGGCAGAGAGATTGTCTACCCACAGTTATCTTTGAGGTGCTGTTGCTGTTACCTGTGTGCTGCTATGGAATCCATTTCTACTAGACTCTGGTGCAGGTCAGGAAACTAGCTGGAATTAAAAAAAACTGTTGCCTAATGATTCGTCTGTAATTGTTGGGTAAGGCATAAATGACTTGACTGCTGCTTTTGTCTTGTTCCCTCTCCCGTTTCAAGTTCCCCCTCCCCCCCATTTGTCCTTGGGCAAAAGGTATTTTTCTGCATTCTTAGAGTACACATTTGCATTCTATCTTCAGAAAAAGACTGCAGTTTTAAACTATGTAATGTTAACATACCGATCTGGGCAGTATCAAAAAGTTTTTGTAAGATGGGGGATGCATCCTATGGTGAGAAAATGGCAATAGATATATGTTCAGTTTTGGGTGTGGAGAGGACAATTTGTAGTTACTGTGATTATCACTAGGTGAAGGTGCGTGAAAGGCACGTGAGTCAGGCTGACCCTGACTGGTCTGCATCATGAATGGAGTGTGGGGAGGGAAGGGGAAGATGACTGTAGCCCTGTAGCTTTATCCGTCTCTGTATTTGGGAACATGATACAGATAATGGTGCCCTAACACTCTTACAGGAAATCTGCCCCTTGGGAGGGAGGGAATCTTGAATATATTTCCCTTCCTAGAACAGATGATGGCATAAGTTAATGTGTGAATGTGTATTATCTGTCAGATGTAGCAGGTATAGGTTATCACAGAGCAACTTATTGTTTTGGGCACGTTAAGGCCTGTGTAGCTTCTGGACTCTGATAAACATACGTTCTTTCTTATTTTCCGTGTAATGCCTGTATGCATCTTGATGAAGAAGGTCAGAGTAAGAGTCTTCCTCATCTACACTAGGTTTTACAGTTCGATATTTCAATTAGCATTCTGAAGGAGCTGCCCAACTTTTTATAAACCCATGTTGTGGGAGGGTGTACTGAGGAATGCTATGCAGCTATTTAAAAAAAAAAACCTGTGTAGGTAATTTTTTACATTTTATTTTTATATTTTAACTGATTACGTAAACATCATTGGACAGTTGTCTCATCTGATGAGCTATAACCCTGCTGAATCCTTCTGCAGTGTGGAGCTGTCTCTAAGCATGCTGCTAATTTCAAGTCAAAGTTTTATCTTGGATGATTTTAGTCAAATACAAAACCTGAAGCCCATGATAAAAGGCTGTAAGAATCTTAGGTTTATAATGAATGCTTGGTTAATAAGTTCTTCTGATAAGTTACCTTAGAAGTTCTGATTCACTTAATTCATTTTCTCCAGTAGCAAGGTAAAAGAAAGGTTTAGCCAGGTGGTGTGCTTTTTTTTTTTCAGGTACAGCCTGCAAATTCTCTTGCTGTGTTAAAATTGACAGTTCTGGGTAGGGAGCAAATGAAGACCCTGCTTCTGGTTTCAAATTGCTGCATGGAGTTGGAGTTTAGGAATTAAATGGGGGGGAAGTGGGGGGAGTGTTTGAATTAGCTGAAATATGATTTTGCAAAATGCAAAACCCTGCAAAAACTGCTCCACACCACTGAGTTTTACTATTCAACAGTATCAAAAGGCTTCCATTCCCCAAAATTTATGTGGCTTTAGTGCAGTTGTAAAAGTGACATAGAGCTGTGCTGTACTCTCCATTGGAGAGAAGGGTATCCATGCATCCTTCTGTCAGTAGAATTTGTTACTTGTCTTCCTGGTCTCTCCAGCCAGCGTAAATAACTAATCTGATTTTATTCGAATAGAGTGGTTTGTGAATGCTGTGGCTTTTACCAGCCTTTTCCCTCTCCTTATGCCAAGTTTCTTCTGTATGTAGAGCAATGGACCTCTGCAGGAAGGACTGAACTGGAAGTGTGCTTTGTCCCATGCCAGTGTTGTTCCAGTGTGTGCTTATGAAGGAAATTATTTGGGCTGAGAAAAGTGCTCGCAGCTCTAAGTACTTGTGTTTCTTCCTGTTGAGCAAAAGAACAAAAAAGAAAAACCAGGGAGGGAGCTGGTACTCTTGCTGCTTTATTCTTCTCTGGAGTCTAGTGACTCATCTGCCCAAAGTTATAGTGCAGCTGGGCACAGTGAGTCAATGTACACCTTACTATTGTGCACCCGGACGAGCAGAAGAATGTGGGATGGGTAGCTGAAGCCATTGGTCTTTGTCTTACCACATGCATCTGTAAAGACTCGAAGCAAAAGAGTAGTGAGTCTGGGAACAGAATCTAGAACTGCTCAGTTCTTCTTTGTGCTTAATGGTGTTTGGATCTGAAACTTCCAGATGTAAATGGAAACTTCTTGTGTATCAGTGTAAAAGGCCTGGTCTTGCATTTAGTGTGCTTGTTGGTCTTTCAATGTTTGCATATCCTGGTTTGAGATAGCTTTAATGTTGCCTAATGTTTTGCATATATGCTACCTCCAGATAACTTTTTGGTGTATTTGACTTCCCTGTTATCTGTCTTATCCTTTGTTTTTTCTTGCAGTCAGGTGCCTGTCACCAAACAGTCTTCCCTTTTGAATTATTTGGGAGCAGTATTTGAGAGTCTGCTTTGAGAAGATAAAACTTGTAGGTTCAGTTTCTGCTTCTGCCATCATCTTGCTTTTGTGCCTTTTTATCTTTCAATTCGTAAATTGCTGCTGTTTTTGTAAGTAGCTGGGTACAGTTTGTTAATGTGTTAGAAATTCAAGTTTTCCCTATTGTATATGGATGCTTAAGATTCTGTATCACTTTTTATACGATCTGGTGATTGATTTGTAATATTAATCTTTTGTCCTCTTTGTAATCAGGCATTATATATTAGCTGCTCTTTCCAGACATGTCTGTATCAGTGGTATTTTATATAAGAGATTAAAGTTATAAGCTGCTCTGTACATATCTGCAGGGAGCAAAGTGCAAATGGAAACTATGGGAAGTCTATTAGTGCTTTAAGAGATTGCATAGGGAAGCATAATATGCAGTTTAATTACTAACCCAGGCTGTAAGTCTTGCTTAAGCTAAAATAAAATGCTGAAAATCCTTTCTAGAATGTCCCTCACCTTTGTTTTCATTACTGTCTAATCCTTGGGTTACTGCTTGTTGCCATATCAATTTGCTGCAGTTACTATCTTATCTGAAGCTTGAATAAGTTTGATACTCAGAAACTCTTTATAATCATGGTTGGTCTGTTTTTTTGTTTGGTGGTGGTTTTGTTTTGTTTGGTTTTTTTGGGGGGGTGGGGGTGGGGTTTGGTTTGTGTTGTTTTAAGTAGAGGAAGCTGGTTTTCAGTTAGTTCTAGACCCAGTCTTGCAATAAGCTCTAGGGGCAGGGGGTTGGTTTGCAAGCAGTTTGTTCAGGGTTGGGCCTTACTTTCTTCAGAAGATGCAACATCTCACTTCTGAAACAGCATACATGAAACTAGGTGATTAATTTTAAAAGGCATTGCATTTATTTTCAAAAGCAAGTGTTGAAATAATGGAAAATACAGTTGGGAGGAATGTGAAGAGGTTCTCTAATCCACTTAATGCTGAATGACATATAATTTCTGATGTGTAACTCTTCTTAAAACTTTCAGGAGGGAAGGTTCCACAACTCCTCTTGCCAATTTATCTAGTGCTTAAGTAGTCTTGTTAATAGACATAGGGAAAAGCTTATTATTTTAAAGTTTTTCTTAAAGTTTTCCTTAAAGTTTACTCTGAGGAGTTTGTTTAGTTGTTCTTCATTGCTACCTATCTGTCTTCATTATTCTCTCTGGCCTTTTGATACTAAGGAAACTTAATTTCTTTGGCTTTTTCTCAGAAGTCCTCTTTTCTAGACTTTATGATTGTTCTTGGTGCTTTTCTGTTCACCTATTTTTTTCTTAGATACTGTACTCCCATGGGGGCTTTCCCAGAGCAGCAGAACTTTTTCATCTGTCATACAGATACTGGTTTTGCTTACACATCCCTGCATGGTGTTTGCCATTTTCATGACACTGTAAGCTTATATTCAGCTTCTGGTCTGGTAGATCTGCTGGATCCTTCTCTGCAATCTTGCTGCCAAAGTGAACAGTTCTTCTGAATGAAGAATGTGGTATATTTATTGGGTGATAGGTGGAAAGAGGTGCATTTTAAACAGTACAAAAAAGCCAGATTTTTAGGAGACCAAAGGAAAAGGGGGTTCATTAGGCAGTTCTTTCGTAGTTCTATGTGTTAATTTAGAAGTCCAGGATGCTTTGACATCAGAGTGGCCATTACACAAATATCTTGAAATGGTAATGAGAAGATCCTTTTTCAGAATATGCAGTGAAAAAGTTCCAGATCTGTGCACAAAATAGCTACATTCTTTCCTGGGATGAATCTTGTTGATGCAATTGGTTGTTAAACTGGTGCTTTTAAGCATTACAATATACTGAAAACAGCAAGTGAATTCTGGGCTTCATCTGCCCACGTAAACAAAATGGAATGAGGTAATCTGGGAGAAGGTGGCTGTAGATGCATGGTTTCACAACAGTTATCTCTATTTGGGAATAGTAAATTCTCTGATAAAATAGTCATTCTAGCTTAACAATAAAAGGATCATTCACGCCACTGTGTGGGAAACTATTGTGCAATAGGTCATTGCACAACAGTTGTAGGTTGGTTCTCCACTGACTGTTGTTCCTCCACTGTCTGTTGTGACTATTGATTTCAGTGTGAAAGAAATTGTGGTCTTCCATCTTCTCAGGAACTAAATTCTGCAAAGGCAACTTAACAATTTAAGGATTAGCCAGGTTTTATGCTGGAGTTTTTTTCTGGTTTGTTTTATTGTTTTGTTTTGGTGTTTGTCTTCATGGACAATGTTACTCTTTGATTCTTCACTCTTCTTTTCCTTCTGTGTAGTGACTTTGCATATTGGACAGCCAAATTACAGCATACTTCCTGGACTGTAAAAATCCACAGCATAGCTTGTGAGGAAAGGATTGTTCACTGGTTGGCCTTGAGAGTTTAACCAGGTCTTTAATGTTCAGCTTTGAATCGGCTTGGGTCTGTACTTAACCACATTCCTCTTTGGGTTTTTTTTGGGAGGAAGTGTCATTTTTGTATAAGGTAGAAAAGGAAGTTGGGCTGTGAACCTTGCAGATAGTTTTCTGAAGCATGTGACTACCAAGTTAGCAATTGTGCATGTTTAGATCCTGTTACTACCATGCAATGCAGTGGTGTCCCAAGATGTGATATGAACAACGGGGAGAATGCTTGCGCTTAGAATGCCTGGCGTCTCACCCTGCAAGATGCTGCATGTATTCAGCAAGCTGCTGTTTTCAAAGCAACAAGCTTTGAAAGTAATGCTATATTGTTGTGGATATTTTTATTTCTTAATATACTTCCCCCCCCCCCCCCATCAGTGCAATTTCTCTTATTCCTTTTATTTGTACTAGTGCTATGGTTAATTATAGCTTCTATATTACTATAATAATATAGAATTAATATTCCAAATGCAGGTTGCCCTTCCCAGATAGTGCTGAGTGAAATGACTTGCATGTATACAGAGGGACTGAATGTGCAACTACAGAGAATGGAGTGTAGCTCTGAGAGCTGTCTGATGGTCCTTAGGAGGAAGAGAAAAATGGGGATGCTTAATCAGCATTGATGCTGTGAGAGATTGTTCAACAAAGAAATTGGTGGGCAGAATATAGGAAATAGGCAGGGAGAAAGAGGAAGTCTGGGTTGAGATCACAATCATTTCTTTCCCCTTTGAGGAAAAGGCGATGGTTGGCATTCTTATACTCTGTAATGAAATAAGAATGGGTGGAGGAAAGTCACAGTAACAAACTCATTTGAACTTTGGTAAGCAGCAAAAATGGTGACCTTAGACATACCCGAGAGCTGTAAAAGCTTTGAGTTGAGTTGGATGCACTTAATTGTTGGGGCTTCTTTTTCCTTCAATATAAATATTTTTTAATTTCAAATCACAGCAGAGATAAATAGTCTTTTTAAAGTATTTGAGCTTCACCACAAACCAGGCTCATGTTAGTTAGCAACTACCATGTGGCCTATCATACTGTTTGAGTTTTCAGGAGGACGAGAGGGATCTGAAATACTGTTCTTGGAGAACTGGGAGAAGCTGCCAGATAGCTTAGTATGCTAATAAAAATGCCCTATGTCCCTGTTTTAGCATTTTTAACTTATAAAGGAAGAATTGGTGGTGGGGAAAAAGTGTACAAACTACCCTGTGAAAAGGAAGAGGGAAGGAAGCAGCAACAACAATGAAATCAAGATTAACATTTAGCACTATCAGAAACAAATAACAGTCAATAGATTTTATGCTGGTAAAGGTGCATTTTAATCTAGTTATCATCTTGCTTTCTGTCTGAATAGAGCCCAGTTAGCTGTCACTTGCCCTCAATAAATAACATTTTTTGTTATAACTTTCTGTCTATTATGTTTTAGGTACAATGTCTGCTCCGAGTGACATCCCTGTTCTGTCTGCACCACCTTCTTATGAGGAAACAACAGGAATCAATGTGAGCTATCCTCACACCTATCCTGTCCCAGAACCTGGCCAGAAACCAGATGGGAAGGGAATGAACCCTCCCCCATACCTGGGACAGCCTGCACCACCAAATAACCCGAGTAAGCCTGAAAAACTCTACTGTACCTCATGTTAAGGAGCTGTCAGGTGTCTGTGTAATAGGTGCTGTGTGGAAGTTGAAAGATTGTGGTTCACAGGTGTTCCCCACCTTCCAAAAATATTTTTGAAGGGAATAACGTGAATCAATTCTTGTGAATTCTTCCTTCAGTGTGCGCTAATATCAATAGCATAATTTGGCTTTCTGCAGTTTTTAATGCAGCCTTATTCTAAAGACAGTATGTTTCTGCATTAGGAAATACCATGGTGATTGCTCTTTGTCATTGTGCGTTTCATTGCCCTGAGTCTCAAATATTTCAGAGTAATAGCTGATTGTAGCTCAGAGGAAGTCAATTAACTATCCTTTCTTCCTTATTTACCCATTGAGTAAACAGCATATTTCTCTGCTCAGTTACAGTTCAGACAGTGTATGTGCAGCAACCAGTAGTATTTTATGACCGCCCAGTTCAGATGTGCTGCCCTTCCTGTAACCAGATGATAGTGACACGTCTCTCGTATGACTCAGGAGCTTTGACTTGGCTGTCATGTGGTGGCCTCTGCCTGCTGGGGTAGGTTGATTCCAATTTGCACTTTATTTTTCTCTTCTTGCGTGACATTTTATAGCTCTAAGGAATAACAAGGCTTTCAGCTTTGTTGCTTTCTCATTCTGTCTGGGACCTGACCCTTTTATGGTTTGAATAGCCTACGTCTGCATTTAAGTCCTATAGGACCTTAAAGCAGCTCTAGAACACTAGAGTGATGGACTCCATAGCTGTGTGTGTTCTTCCTAAAGCTTCATGGCACCAGTTTTACTGATGGCTTTTGCAGGAAATATATTTTACCTTCTTGTGTATGTAACAAGTGGTAAAACAGATTGTTTTGTGTTGTTTTTAATTTGCAGGTGTATAGGTGGCTGCTGCTTAATTCCCTTCTGCATTGATGCCCTAAAGGATGTGGATCACAGCTGTCCGAACTGCAATGCTCTTATTGGTTCTTACAAACGCTTATAGGCAGTGTTTAAACATCGATAATTCATTGATGAAGTTGGTTAGCACCTCTGCAAGCCCTTTCTGAAGTTTCATGGAGACTTCTGGTTGTTTCTATGCATCCTGTCACTGGAAACCAATCAAAAGTAATGTTTATTGCTAAATTGTTTGAATGAGAATCTGCTGAAGGGGATTCTGACTTAGGTCTGTAAAAATTATGTGTAATCTTTATAGGCCACTCAGTCTAGCACCAGTTGATAGCAGCTAAATGTTTTCCCTTTCTGCTTTATGCAAAACAGGTTGATGATGTTCTTCAGTTAATCTTGTCTCAGTCATGTTGGATGCTGGTGTGCTTGCCTGTAGTCTCAGCACAGACCAAGAGGAGAATGTCTGTGGAGACCTGCATAGTCTCATGCTTGGTGTTGATGCTTTTGCAACAGCACTGTTTACAAACTGTCAGGGAGTTGCTTGCCTCTGAGACAGGTGCCTCTCTTTAACAGAAGAAGTGATTTGTTGGCATCTTTTCATGAGCACTAAAATTCACTTTAAAATTTTCTTAGTTGAAAGAGAACCAAACTTAAAGGCTTCTTCCTTCTTGGAGGCAGCTTTACCAAATGGACAACTCGGGTTATTGTGCATCAGTGGTGATTCAATCTAGTACCTGAATTTCCTTGCCAGTTTCAAGTCTAGTCATATCTCTAATCTGCAGTAAAGATGTTCATACAGGAATTTTAATAGATAATTTGTTCAGTGTTTTTTGGTTGATTGTTTTTTTATTTTACTGCTGATTTATGTCTGTGAAGTGTTCTCTTATCTCCACCCCAGTGGAAATGCCCTTCGTTATAGCATTGGAAAACTTCCTTGTACATTTATGTAAGTCAGCTGATAGATCATAAACAAATCTCAGCCTTATCTTAAGGTTCGACTTCCACCTGCAAAACACAGATACAGGACCTGGGCTTTTAATTGTTGATCTGTTTGTTAATTAGTCTTTCTTCATTAAGAAGGTAACATGTTTTTAGGGAGTTTCTTTGATTATTTAGACTTGTACTCTGATTTTTCTAAATGAAAGAGAAGTTCTGTTTTCAGAAACTTAAGATGGATATGCTTGTTTAAGACAAAAAATTAGGGAATGAGGCTCTGAAGGTTGAAGCATTTTACCATGTCATAAGCAGCAGACTTGTCCAAATAACTTCTTGACGCATTTGAATGATACCTGTCTAAAAAAGGCAGGCAGGTGTTTAAACAAGGCTATGATGCTAACACTGTATTAATCTCTGTAAAAGTAAAAAGCTAAAATAAATACAAATAAAAAGTACTGCATTTACTGTTCTTGAAAAATGTGCCTTCTATAAATATTTGGTATAAGTTAACTTTACAAAAGTCTTTCAATATTTCACGTTTGAAATCCAGGAGTTTCATGGATCACAAATACAACCTCTAGGCCTTGTGTTAATTACTTTTTGTAAACTGCTGCTGCTTGTGGGTCAGTCTGCAAGTGGTTTAAGAGCTTGTGCATTTGGAAGAGGTTTCTGATCATATGTCTCCCTGTACCATAAATTTTTACATCAGTAGCTACTAACTGGCAAGATAATGATGGAGATAAAAAGCTCATAGTTTTGCAGCTTTCCACTTCCATGATGCATTACTAGCTTGTGTTTTTTGTCTGCTGCTGCACCACTGTAACGCTTTCCATGTTCTTTAAGGGCCTGGGTGATGCTCCATTGAATTGTCTGTTCTGATGACACAGGCAGTGATTTTAACTTCCTGGGTTCCAGTAAAGCAGTATCCCTCCTCCTCTCGCCTCACTGGATTTCACAGAAAATGTACTTTTTGTCAGTTTATCATGAGAGCAAGATGGGAAGAAGCAGTGAAGCATGAAGTGTTTCCAAACTTGATGTTTGCTTGCATGATGGGGAGGGGAGGGTTTTAGTTCTTGTTCGTGTCAATCTGGTCTGGATAATCCTGCTGTATATTCATTTGGTGAGTAAGTCTTCAAATTGTTATAACCTTAGCTCCCCTTTTCTATACAAAGTGGTGGTTGGAAAATCTGAGGTGGCGGCACCAGAATGCAGAAGAACACGGACCAAAAAAAAAAAATTATGTGGCGTTGTATTTTATTTCATGGGCTCAGTCCATTGCATCTCTTTAAATTCCTTGTATGGATTGAGAATAGGTCACAAAGTTGGCAGCTATTCCACCTAATTAAGCATTCTGCAAAACTTTCTGCTGCCCCTTCTATACTTAAATTTCCTTAAATACAAAGCCTGTGTTTGTTCTCTTGTGTATGGAATTACCTACAGAATGTGCCAAAGTAACTTGCTTTGTTAAACTTACTTTAGACAGACAAATGCAGGACATAACTTGCTTTGTGTGAAAGTGCTTTGTGTTTGATTACGTTGAAGTTACTGTTTGTTTTTAAAATGTTATATTTAAAATAAAAACTGTCTTTCATATCTAGTGCTTGTAATCAGAAAGTTATAACTTTTGGAATGTTTCCAAACACATGAAGGCTGAAATGTTAAAATGAAGTCAAGAAATGGAATTACGGGGTGAAATTTTTCAGAGTCTCACTTGGGCCAAGTCTTTGATATTCTCTGCATTCTCTGGCCTGCAGACCAACTGTTTATACACAGAGACACATGTTTTCCTGCAAATAGGGCCCTTTTAAATATTTTTTCAGTTAAAACTCCTTTGGGTAAAACTTTCACTTGCAATACAACTAAACAAACACATACAGATATGGCTACGCTTTTACATACCAGTGACCAGTAGGGAGAAAATAGATATCAAATATACTTATATTCAGTCAGGAAGATTCCCTAATTGTGCAAGAATACCCTGCTTTTTTTCATGTCTGAAGTACTTTTTTTTTCTTTTTTCTTTTTTTTTTTTCCTGAGGTGCAGAAAATATAGGAAGGCAAGATTAATACCTCAAAACAATTTCATTTTAATGCATTGATATTTACTGTTTTTATTAAGCAACTTTTTGGTCAATTTGTTAACAAGCAAGTTGAGTCGTGAACATATAGTTTTTCCTCTGTTGATAGATACAGAAGTGGCATGCTGACTTTACGTGCTCATACTGTTTCCACAAAAAAGTAAGGAATGGGCACAGGCCATCTGAAATCCTCCAGCCTCGCGTGACAAATTTCAGTGAAGCCTTCCCCTACCCCCACCTTCCTAAGCTTTCCAGGATGATGCACTTTGACAGTGTTGTTTCCATTAGACTTCTACTTTGAATTGACAGAACTTGCACAATGTTCAAACTTAGTTCTGATGAGGTTTGAGCCAGAAGGAAAAAAAAATTTTGTCATGCAAAGAGGATCCAAAATAAAAGCTGTTGAAACAAAAGCAGCTGATAGCCTTACAAGAGGGAGTTGTTAAGCAAGGGCAGAGTGGTTTCAAAAAGCTGCTATTTATTGCAGTGTTTGTGACAGCACTTCTGGCAGTCTAACCACAAGTTCTTTTTTGAAGAAATGAGTTGTGATTTGTGTACTCAAACCTAGTTGATTGTTCTTTATAACTGAGCAGCAAAAAATCATGGGGTGTATGCTGTCATCCTCGGAATAAAAAATAAGAAGTGCAAGTACTGTGACAAAGGTGTGACATGTTTATAGTTCAAGTGAATTGTATTTCATAGCAAATTAACCTTTGTGTTCCTATTTTCTTTATAAGATCCTGCAGTTACCTTTAGGATGACTTTTAATATATTTTTGTGAGGTGAATACCCTCGCGTATGATGTGCCGGATGTGAATCTACTATAGAAATGAATTGTCTGATGAGTGGCTTACTACTTTTTCAAACCAAGACACCAAAAGGTGCATGGTGCAGCCTGCTGCTTTCAAAGGAAGTGCCTCTTCTTGCCACTTACAGTTGATTTTTGTTACAGTTTTTTAATGTAAGAAGCTGAAGCGCTGGCATCTGTTTGAACAGGTGCCTGTGTGGTTGGGACGTGCTAAAAGTAGTTGTAGTCAAGTCCAGAATAAACCGAGAGTGAGTAGGAGGCTTTTTGAAAGTCCTTTTGTGGTTCGCTGGTTTGCTTCATGCAACATCTTGGTCTTTGTAAGGAAAAAAAAAAAAAAAGCACAGCTTCAATGAGCTCTAGATGATTATGCATTAATGAGATGTACGACAGTCACTGCTCTAGAATCTGAAGCCATCGTGCCTTTGCATGTGACAACAGTGGTTTCACAAACGTGCTGGGGGGGAAGAAGGAAAAAAAAACCACAAGAGGACCCCAAACT